CTGAATAAACGTACTTCGTGCTACACGTCTGTTTCCTTTATAGCTGGGCTATAGTTTGGCTAGTTCTGGGAGTCTAGCTAGATGTATGAGAATCTGCCATAGAGATTTCTGAGTCAGCCAGGCTTTAATAAAGTAGCAATCCGCTACAGTTTCATTAAGGCATGCTAGGGCATTATCTCCATGTCTCATGAAATAACCTTTCAGTTGTTAATATTTCGGAACTTCGATAATTTTGCTTTAAAACCAGCAAATATTATTATTTTGTAAAGGCAGTTGAAATATTTATTTATTTATACCAAATGGCAGGCGTCTTGATGGTTATCATTAGCCCTTTAGTTGACTTCAGGCTTCACAGAGGGGAAGGAACATCAAATTGAATAAAGTCGAGAGGGGGGAGGGGGGAACAGAAGAGTGTTTAAAAGATGTAAGAGACAAACACAAAGGTAGAACAAAGGTGAGTACTGTGTAAATAGTCGAATATGGCATAGAGTGAGGTGATGGTGGTTTGAAGTGAGAAGTCAACTGCCAGTTAATAGACTTTTTTGTCGTATGAGTATACGTTGCCCAGGGTGCACCACGTGGAGGTAAGTCTATCGCACACCCCGGCAGTTGAAATATTAAAGCCTAGAAATTCATAATTGATGGTTTCCGCATTTCTACTTCTATAGGATTCAGGAGGATCACCTATCGGTTAATCTGAAAACTAAGCTAGTATACTTTGAAAGAACTGAAGAACATTGAATTATCTTCCCAGGTACCAAATCAACTCAATTCAAATCCTGATCAGTAGTCTATTATTAAAGACCCAAACGCACATTTTCTGTTGAATCAAAAAATTGGAAGTTATAAATATTTATACACATTACGCTTAGAATATTTGAGGTTATATTACAAAGTTTTGGCAAGAGTATTTTCAGAGAAGAAAAAATCCAAAAGTACAAGCACCTACTGTATAAATAATGACATATTACGTAGACAAGCTTAAGCCTATTATCGAAAGAGTAAAGAGTGGATTCGTTATGCCAAATCTCCATCACACCATCTGGATATTTAATTGCTTTAAAACGGAAATTCTCTTCCACATCCAAGGCAATTTCCTCGTAAATTTGTCTGGCCATTCCCTCTATCTTTGCACATTGAGCCATTCTGTCATAAGTGCATTCTTTCCACGCCATTGCACGCAGGTCTCTCCTCTGTCGAATAAGGATAAAGAAGCCAGAATGTAGAAAAAAAGATTATTTTGTGGAATTTATCAAGTTTGTGGCAAAATTTACTTTGATTTAATATATATACGTTTTTATTGATCTCCCGCGTAAGCGCAATGGAGTTTGGTTGAGTAGCTAAAGGAATTCATATTCAAGAATCGATAATCTGATTACTAACGCTTTTGTGTTCTCAATGGTGAAGTTCCATTTAGATAGGCACTTCAAATATGAAAAATCGACCTGTCCCCATCTTTTGGGAAGAAGATCTATTAATCATTACAGAATCTAACGGAAATGACTTGAAGCCTATCCGAATACCCGGCCATTCAAAAAAGTTAATTTTCGAAAAATTACCAGTTTGACCAATTTTGTTTAATTAATCTGAACACATTGTTAATAATAAAGTGTCACCCTCTATTTATCTTCCTACTTACCATGCAGCCTCCTTTAATCGAGTTAGCGTGAAGCAATTATTTCACAAACAAAGTTCTTCTCCATTTAATGTTCCAATTTGTTACACAACAAAATGCAACTGAATTAAAATGTTGAATCATTTCCAATAACTGGTTTTTAACTATTTGCTGTTCACTTGTCACATAAGCTTAAATTTGGCAGTACACTTTCAACAAATACAAAGGTTTTTAAGACAATAAAAGCGCACGAAAAACTAATTAGAATTTCAATTTTACGAGGAAGAGTGAAGGAAACCGACTGAAGCACAACATACGAATGCCGTGAGACTTTACCATATTCATTTGATTATCTTGAATGACAGTAAGATGAACGTTGTAAAACGCGCAATATAACATCAAGCGGACCATATATTGCGTATCAATGCCTTTGTGACAGCATACTATTCCAATAAAACATTCATACGGCAATGCAACCAAAAAGGTGAATTATTAAAAGAGATAATTAGTGAAAGAGGGCTACAAACACTTGATTTCGTGTTAGTAGGAAATTTAATAGCAGAATATAAATTATAACATTCATATTGCACAAAAGGTTAGATGAAATGAATAGATCGGTCTCAAAACTACCTATTCAATCATATTACTATGTTAATCGGCATTAACTAATTCCGATGACTACTTCAAATCCTTTTTAATCTAATTAGCTGCAGCGAAGATAAAATACGTCATATTCTGACATAATTGATAGATATTAAAAGTTTTATTCGTTATAATATCCTTTTAACATTCGTTAAAAATGAGGAATGGCTAGCAAATAGGCGGAATGCAAAACAATAGAAATTTAAAATAATATCAGAATTTTTCAGTGTAAGAACTTCAGGATTTTACGATATATCATGGAGAAGTCATTGGGTTAAGAACTTGATAATTGGTTCAACTTCAAACAACTGATCTTCAATAAGACGATTTGACTAAATGCAATAAATAAAGGATATTCATTTTACCTTTCCAAACTCCATTAATGTGGGAACATTATTCACATTTAATTTAGGCTCATTTCTAAATTCATTGGCCTGATCTTTCCATCTGCAAAAAAGCATTTAGTAACATTATAACATACACAGGTTTACTTCCGGTATGGACTGTAATGAATACTGCATCTTCAGGCAAGTACTTAATTGCACTTTCCACAAATGGTTTTGCTAAACTAAAAATACTCATGAACAGTCAAAACCTTTATACGAAATTGTGCTATAGTATATGGTAAATATGGAAAATAATAATGCTAATATGTTTTGGTTAAGACTTGACTAACCTTTTCTGCAGTCTGGGCACCAGCTTTCACCAGTCTCATCGGGAGAAGCCACAAAATACAAGAAACACCTTTTATCACTATTTTTATCCAAAAATTCAAAAACTTCTTTCACACTTGTGAGATCCATATTTCAGTTTAACTTTAAAAATGAAGTTCAAAACTTTTTTGAAAGAAAAGCGTCCGTGAAACGTGGCCAAATAATCTTCGTCGAACCCAATAAACAAGCCAATGCACGTTACTTTTCCCTTTAGTCCCATAAGTATTGAGCTTAATCTACAAAAAATTTCACCTTAAAATGAATTATTTTTATTTTTTCAATGTTATCTTAACAAGCGTTATCTATTACGTATAATGTCATAATACCTTTTGCTCATAATTGGGTAATTAATGACCCGAATTATAAATATTAAGGAGCTCATAATTTGAATTATATTTTACACGATCAAATATTTTAATTGACTCCATAAACCAGCAATTTTCCTTGTATCATAGTGAGAAATAAACACATTACTCATTGTTAATACAGTGAGGAACAGTCGCTAATTTCAGTGCTTGGATTCATTATTTTTAGAATGTTTTTCCCTCCACGTAGTGAAGTTCCCCGATTAAAATTCTAATGTTAAATTTTGGGTTTTTTTATTCATAAATAGACACTTGTTTTCGATAACAGTTTATAGCTGTTGTGTTAATGACTTATAAATCGTCATATAGAAAAGATATTTTATATTCGGAAAACTTGAATTCGCTTGTCAAATTCTAGTTGTAAACTCACAAACAAAAATTTAAATCGATGAAAATATTCTCCTTATTTGATTTCACCCAAGATCGCAGTTTTAATTAAGTTTACGCTAGAATTTATTGAGTAAGTAAATTGCGTTTGCTATTCGAAGTGCAATCATCCGTTTTTGTCTCCATTTACTTCATAATCTTTTCTGAAAAATACTGAGCGTAAACAATCAACGCCTTTGTATCATTAATATTTACTACCAAAACTTTTTTAAGTTCCAGCTTTTAGGGAATGATAGCAATATTCCGTTTTTCAATAATTGGAATGCAGAACGTTGGTCACATATGATTCGTATTTTATTCATATTTGTCTATAATAACCAGCGTTTTCATTTACGCTTATTCTTACGCTTTCTTTATCCTGTTAAATACAAGATAACACTTGAGTCTAATCTATTCAAATTTTCATTAATTTTCAAATGTTACATGCCCCCTATCAAGTACAAATACAAAATGCTTTTGATTGCTTATGTCTCCAAGGTTTGATTGACATCTGTGAAGATTTTTAAAATAGGAATCATCAGGTTGTGAATCGGAATAAATAGATGGTAAAGAAGGATTCGATTTTTAAAATATGTACTTAAATAGTTAATTCATTTCTTCACATTCCATTATTTTACCACGAATTACCGAGAGAATCCATATCCTTAATGTTTATTTATTTATTTATTCGATTAGGTAGAATACATGATTTTCCCTTTTACGTCCATTTTTTCTTACGAAAGCCAGGTAATGAGAACGGAATGCCTGGAGCTGGTGAATCAATCTAGAAGAGGAATCCCACCAGTCAGCCCACATTGAAATGACGAAAAATTTCGGAAAGTTATATTAGCTGAAAAATAACCCCGGTTTTATCACTCTGGATCAAAAGTAAGAAATGACAATAAAAATTTTCAATCATCTGTACTAACTAATCACTTCGTCGCTTTGAAATTGGACATAGTGATACAGTTCATTATACAACATGCTCAGTGCATTAAACAATAATTTAATTAGTATTTGAAGTTATTGCTCCTTAATTCAATCTATGTTTAATTTTCAGCCCGTATCAAACAAGAATAGTCTTATAAATATATTTCACATTGAGATTTAAGTTTAAATGTTGAAAAACACCAGTTACAACTGGAGCCTCACACAAATGATCAACATATCAAATTTTATCGTATTTTTTTCATAACTGTAATGTCAACAAATGTCCACATCATATTCCTAAGAGGTGGGCACACTTAGAACTTGGTCAAATTGTTTACATAAACAGAATTATATCAACTCACCCAAGCAGCATAATTTTGCTATCAGGAAAATTGCACACATGTAAAACAAATTTAAAGAAATTATTTGTATTCCGTGTAGATAAGATGCCAAAAGGCTTCTGTTGGCACATTCTTTTGTTTTCCTAACTAAATGACGAATCCAATTTTATATAAATAGAGACCCAGCCCCTAATTGAATGATTGAGAAAATGGCACAATGCACTATAGCAGGCCTGGAGCTTTTAAAGTGTATGCAGTTTTTTGCGCTAAATAAAAATATGGAATTTGAATAAAATTTCCATGAGCTAAAGTGATTGATCGCTCCCGGGGTGTTCGAGTTCATGAATTCATAGCGGATTGTTACACTAGTAAAGCCTTCACTGGCTCAGAAACCACTGCATCTAGCTAGACACTCAGAACTAGCTAAGCTATAGCCCAGCTAAAGAGGAAACAGACGTATCGCACGGAACACGATTATGCAGGAAGTATACTGTGGATAAAGTGTCACGCCGGAATGTTATTCATAAACAAAATGGCGGATTCACTTAAACAAACGAAAGCTTCTGATTGGCCATTGGTTGTGCACGTATGAGATCATGCGTAGGTGATGAGATGCCTATAAATTAGCCTATTGCCACTCATGGACCTAGTCATCATACTTTAACTACAAACCCAACGTCGACCTCCATCCATCCAATTCAATCTACGTTCAGGTCCTCCAGCTTGTTCTTATCTACCGACTGCTCCTTCTACCAGTACCGAAATTGTGAAGTGCACAACCACATCACGGCTAAACTAAGCAACCTCATGAACACTCGAACATGAGGTCACAAATGAAGAATCCCCCCTCCCCCCTTTAGTATCTTATAAATCTAGAGTGAACATCATGCGTCATAATCATTTGTTTATTTATTTATGTCAAATGGCAGGCGTTTTGGTGGCATCATTAGCCCTTTAGTTGACTTCAGGCTTCACAGAGGGGATAGAACATCAAAGTGAAAAAAGGTCGAGAAGGGAATGGGAAGAGAAGAGTGTTTCAAAGACGAAGGTAGAAAAGGTAGAGAAAAGGTGAGGTGAGTACTGTGAAAGTAGTCGAATATGACATACAGTGGGGTGATGGTACCTTGAAGCCAGAAGTCAACTGCCAGTTAATAGACTTTTTTGGCGTATGAGTCTACGTTACCCAGAGTGCACCACTTGGAGGTAAGTCTATCGTACACCCCGCGCCATAACCATCACAACATCAATAAGCACATCCCACAACCTACGTTCAGTTTACTCTATATCGCTGCGACGGAGGGACTAATTTCGGGAGCATTACATATCAAAGGATTTTGCAGTAGAGAATAATCTTGAGTAATTGAAAAATGGAAAAATGAAGTTTTAATTTGATCATTAGATCAAGTAATTATGGCCAAAATTCGACAAAAGAAGTCATTAAGTTGATCTTCCATTTCCATGCCAATGGCTATTAAGTATTTCCACTTATACCACGGTTGATTAAAAAAGAAAAAACAAAATACTCAAAACTCCTTTCTTTTTCCTATTTGAATTGAATCCCCATAAAATGGCAGGT